TTCACCGTGATTGTTTGTTTTCCGGCTGTAATCGCGGACATCGATTTTCGCGCTTTAACTGAATTCGCGGCGGATACGCTTTGGGCGCTCGTGCGAGGCTTTCCGCGCGATTAATACGCATATGCTCATGCACCTTGTCGTGGACCTTGCTTAGGCTGAAGCTAACGCGTAATCGCTTAATACATCGGCACTGGCGACGCGACGTGGAACGTGTTTGAAATCGTCCAGATAGTTGATAGAGAGCTAAACATGTGACGAGAAAGAGAGAAAGAGAGAGGGAGGAGGGGGAAAGAAAAGGGGAAAGACTGCGAGAAGGACGTTCCGCTTTATCAGTGCAAATGGGATGCCAGCGTGTTTCCATTAATTCAAATCGCCGAGTAAAATCGTGCCGTGGAATGTCCATTAAAGTCAAGCGGAGAAGTCGTTAGCCTGTCTACGGTGATGTTGGGAGTTATCTGGCGTTTTGTTAGAAGCTACATTTTATCGATAAGAATCAGGAAACGGCAAAGAATGCAAGATTTTACATTTTGGAAACGCTTTTTGAAAAGAGGGCTTTTCTTGCGCGCGAATTAAACCGATGGTTATGTTTCTACAACACGAAGAGGAAGTTCCTTACGCTATTTTATCGATAGATATATTTACTTATGTATTACGTACCTCTCTCTATATATTTGTCTAAACTTGGAATCTTCTATTTATACATTATAAATCATACTGTGATATGAATATAAGTGAATTCAATTAATCGACAAATATTTAGATTAAGATTAAGATTAAGCGTAAACAAATCGTTATTACGAATAAATGATTGCTGTCAAAAGTTTATTACATACATCTAAATTGTCGGAGAAGCGCGCGAGTCTATGACCGGTATTCATAGTCCGTTCTTTTATTTAAGATCATCCTAAGTTCATCTTTAGATAGATATTGTATGTATTATTTTATTGGTTACAGATTATCTAAAGATGAACTTAAGATGATCTTAAATATAAGATCGGACTATGAATACCGGCCGGTATGGTATTCATAGTCTTTTTTATATTTAAGATCATCCTAAGTTCATCTTTAGATATTGTATGTATTGTTTTATTGCTTACAGATTATATGAAGATGAACTTAAGATGATCTTAAATATAAGATCGGACTATGAATACCGGCCTATGTCTTTTTGACATAGCATCGTTCGAGCGTTGGGATTAAATCGTTTGATGTAGAATATGCTGAGGCAGTAATGTGAATAGGACGGTGCGTTGAACGGATGTTCCGGTTTATCAGTGCCTACACGGCGTGCCGTCGTGTTTCCATTTATTCTGTCGCCGGACAAACTCATGTCATTGGGACGCTTGTCGAAGCCGAGAGACGACCACGTCGTTAGGCAATTTGAGGTAAGTTAACTCTTTATACAAAACCGCGACGATGTTATTGCCACCCGAGAGAGCGAATATTTTTAAACCCGGTTCGAGAGGTGACACATTTATATCGGATGAATCATCGACCGAGATGATCACGGTTCCTTTCCTAATCATCTTCAAGCGATTCTCATTTAATTCAACGAATTACCGTTATCGTGAAAACGACACGGTGTAACTTTAATTATTCAAATTATTTCGTAGTCTCGCAGGAATTTTTTTTTTATATAATATACTTGACAAGGATAATTAAAAACATGATATATATTTATTTTTTCTCTTAATATCGAAATAATAATTTAAATTAATTTCAATATTCGCAGTCAATTTGAATTAATTTCAATAAAATTTAAATGTGCTTAATAATCATATTAATACTGACTTTTATGAAGAATAATGTCTTTTGTATTGAAAACAAGTATTGCAAAATAAATTATAAAATTTAAGTTTTTCTACTCTCAAGGAATATACAACAACAACAATAATAATAATAATAATAATAAAAAATTATTATGACTATTATTGCTGAACTATCCTAAAAATTAATAATCATTCCTGAATAATTGAAAAATAAGAGATAATAAAAATTTATAAAACAAGCGTTATAATAAATACATGTATTGAGCACATAAACGCTTTTATTTCGACGTCTAAAAATAGTTTAGAATAATCACGAGAAAGTATTTCAGGAATTCTGCGAATATTTAAATATCCCGGCACTTGCGGCACAAAAGGACCGCGTTACAAATGTTAACGCGACATTAGGTGCCGTGTTTCTATTTCTTTACACTCTTCCACGCGCACGCGAACACGAAATCGGTTAATCCAAACGCACCGGAATCGTTGGGAGGAGAGAAGAGACGGAGGATGCGAAATGGCAATGCGTTCCGGTTTGTCAGCACGCGCGCATGGCATACCGCGGCTTGTTTCCATTAATTCGCGTTGCGAGAAGAAGTCAGTGCCATAGGAATGTCCCAGAGTCGTCGAGGGTTATAAAAGACGAGACGAAGCAACCTAATTTGCTACATTGTCGCGAGCCGATCCATTCGCGAAATATAGGCTGTAACTAAGTCCCCGATTCAGATCTGATAAACTAAATCCAATTAACCCTCATCACTTTTAGGATAGCGAGGCTTAATTTTTATCCGAAATCGTGAGAAAATCCTTAAAGCCGCAATCGAGTAAACGAGATGGTTTTTAGAATACTCATTCGTGTAATTTTACTTGATTTTTTTTATACTGTATATATATTTACAACTATCTTTCTAATTTTTCGATATACACCTTTTATCCTCCATTAATCTATAGAATAAAATTTCATTTAATTGTCATCAATTTTTACAAATGTCTTATGTCTGAATATATCACTTATTTCTTAAAGTTTCTTTACTAGACGGAGAATTAGTCATTTTAATCTTAAGTTATTGATATAACGGACCAGTGTGTTACACGGAATGTTATTTCATTAATGAGCAAAGATCTCGAGTATTTATGATTGCTGAAAATTTATATGCTTCAAGAAGGAATATTCCACGGCAAAAAGACAGTTATAATAACCGATTATATGCGTTTCTTCATGCATTCGTCTTACTTCTTAATGCGATAATTTGGTGCATCGGCGATAGCGCTCATGTGTGAAATCGCTTCATTTCAAATGCAATGAAATATTTATATCGTGAAAAACAAACACATAAGCAAATAGAAACAGTTTATCTATTCCATCAATAAGCGAAATAATCGCTGAACGAAATTTCTTGATTAAACTGCTTCAACATCTTCTATCGTTGAATTTAACTTAATTTCCGCGAACAGTATATCAAAATTTTTCAAGTAAATTAAATTATGTATATCGACCTGCAGGATGTATAAATAACATGGGAAAATATGTTTCCTTTCAAGTTATAGCGGCTCGTAATTCGATCGGAAATTTTCGATCGACAAAATATGTATAAATCAGCGTGATTAATATTATATTCTACGTTATTACGTTAATTAAAATTTCTATAAAGCAAGAATATATTCGATATTTTGATAGAATTTTAATATTAAAAATATAAAGTCATTTAACTTAATTCTTTGAATATTCTCTGCTGAGAATAATTAATTTAGCGTTTTCTGACACTTCCATATTTTTATGCAAATACTGTTTTATTTACTATCAAACGAATATAAAATAAAGATATTACTTTCCTCAATCCGTTAATAAGTTATATTACATTATTCAATTATTGAAGTAACCCAGAAATATATTATCAAAATTCCAAACATAGTTAAAATATCTTGCAACTGCCTAATTAATAAATCTCTAATTTTTTCCGCGCGATTCGATTCGACTTCCTGCTCCAGTATTTTTCTCTTATTTTTGAAAGGAAAGAATTTCGCACCGGGAATCGCTTAATATACCGAACATAAGCGATGGAAGATAACGATTGGCGAGATAGAGAGGTATAGAGAGGACGTACGCTTCGCTTTATCAGCGCATACGCGGCATGCCGCGGCGTGTTTCCATTAATTCGCGTCGCGGGGCGAACTCGTGCCGTTGGAATGCCCGATGCGTTGAAGCCGAGAAGAGGAGAGAGAAGTCGTTAGGCTGCGTACCGTCGCCGTCGCCGTCGGTTCGAACCGGCAACCGGTTCTCCCATCGGTGATTCGTCGTTAATTCGCCGGCGCGGAGTAAGTAATCGCGCGCGTCCCAACGACCACCTCGGGTGTGTTACACGCCTGCGTTTACATCGCGTCAACCGCCCCCTCGGCTCCCTCCCTCCCTCCTCAGAAAGCCCACTCCCGATCGGAGTTTGAACGGAAAAACGAAAACGCGGCAAAGGACGGTCTGTCGATGATGCGCGAGTGGCATCTCGATTTCAAAGTGACAGGTGGAAATACTGTTGCTCTCTCCGCTTCTTGAGAAGGCTTATAAATTATTCTTGAGCGAGACTCACGCGCGTATATTCGATTGCGAATTCGAAAAAACGAGCGAAATTAAAAAATAGTAGCTCTCATTATATTCAGGAACGTCGTGAAACTTAATCATCTACATATGTTAGTGTCAGGATTATAAAAATACCTCGGGCTTTTCCGAGACGAGATTTATGCGCGAGTTACTTATAAGTAAAATAATTTCGTAATGAATTTTTATTCATTATTTATATAGCAATATTGTTTAAAATAAATTTTATCGATAAGTGCTATAAATACTATCACTTTATGAATATCAAGAAAATACTGACTTACCGAATAAAAATACTTCGGGCTTTTTCGAGACAAGATTTATGCGCGAGTTACTTATAAGTAAAATAATTTCGTAATGAATTTTTATTCATTATTTATATAGCAATATTGTTTAAAATAAATTCTATCGATAAGTGCTATAAATACTATCACTTTATGAATATCAAGAAAGTACTAACTTACCGAATAAAAATACTTCGGGCTTTTTCGAGACAAGATTTATGCGCGAGTTACTTATAAGTAAAATAATTTCGTAATGAATTTTTATTCATTATTTATATAGCAATATTGTTTAAAATAAATTCTATCGATAAGTGCTATAAATACTATCACTTTATGAACAATAAGAAAGTAATGACTTACCGAATAAGTTCGCCAGCATAGAACTGGAAGCTCGTTCTAAAACAAACAAAAAAAGATTTGTGAGAATAAAAATTTAACACAAGTTTTATGAATAAATCTATAATCATATTGCTATGCTCTTGTTCTCTTTTTTTCTCTTGTGCAGATTGAAATGCTTTGAAAAACATACATGTACAAACGCTAAACAATACATTCAAACAAGAACATAATAATCGTGAGTTAACAATGTAAGGTTTTAAAAAATTCAGATTTAACATAAAGATAGAAAGAAATAATACCAGGAAATGATCCGAGGAAAAATAATGCGGTACAACACGATTTCACAGTGCAACACTGTTTGCACGCGAAAAAAATAGAAAAAAATTTGCTTCAAATAATAATATAAAATATTGACATTTTTTGACACCTTATAATAAAACTCGGAATAAATTGCTTCAATTTTGTCCATAATTTTCACGATCGATGAGACATTATGTCATTAAGTGGAAATAAGCGAAAAATTCTGTTCTGATTACGCAGAGTACACTTCATCAACGCGCGATCAACATATACATGATGCAGCTGAATCTGGTCCTTGTCGAGTCAATTTCTCTGTAATCTAGATCTTGTAGGTCGAGACACGAGCGTAAAGATGAAGATTATCGCGCGAACGCTCATTATACGTCTCCCCCTCTCCTCTGGGAATTTTACGATAACCCGAGGATTTAAATACACGTTCGCACTTCGCGTTTCGCGTAAGTGCCCGGATACCTAATTGTAAGCCTATTTATGCGGATGCCATCGACCGCGCACGAACATGGGCCCAAAGTTGCGCGCGAGCAAATCGCCCAGACGAGGCGAGAAAGACACTCGCATTACGTGCACGCACGCGCGCGACGTGCCAAGCCGTGTCATTATACTTTACTTTGATCGAATGCGGAAACCCTAGGATAATTTGCGCGAACGAACCGCAATTATTTAAGGGTGTGCATACGTAACGAGAGGGTGGCTCTTTTCTCTCTTTACCTTTCTGCGAGGACCTCGGTTGTTTTGTTCGAACGTTAGACGCCGATGTTTATCGATTCGCGTCGCGATCATCACATTGTCGGCGATGGAGCCGCGAACTCGCAATTTTTTCCTGAAAATTTCTACCTTCAAGTGATGAATATGCATGTCGAAACGATGCTCGTTTGTGAGCCGCCAGAAATTTTAGGACTGCTTCGCAATATTTGTCGCGATATAATTCTGAAATAATTTTGAAATCGAAGCGCGAAATTCGAGATCGCGTGTAAGAATATTTATATCAAAGTCGGGAATAGTCTCGAAGGAAGATAGAGGAGGTTGCAATGCAACAATTATTAATATAAGATCGCGGAATTTTTAACTTTAGTACAGTTTAACTGGCGAGCTCGTGCAAGTATATCGAACAAGCGATACTATCGAGGAAGGGGATGATAATGACTGTGTTGATTCGAGGGGTTAATTATGATCCCTCGTCGCTATCACTGCCATATCCCCGTTATTATGAAGGGTCTCTTGCATTAAATTTTACTACAAAAAGAGGAAAAGCTATTAGGCTATTAAGATAAAAACCGTGTTCTTCCTTACTTGGAGACTGTAATTCTTTTTCTTTTTTATTCCAGGATTTTTTTATAAAGCATGCAAGACACATTTACATATTTAAATAAAGATATATTGAAAAAAAAAACAATGTATGTATAAAGTTCTTCTTCAAGTAAAAATGTTTCTCTAAAAATTTGAAATTATTCTATTCGCATAGTACACAATAAAAAAATTAAAGTGTAAATATTTATAAGATTGTTACTAGAATGACTAGTTACTAGAATGAAAGACTGTTACTAGAATAAAAGAGCACATCTTAGATAGAAAATATAATTCTTTCCGCAATAAAACTCAATTTAATTTTCTAGTTGTTGTGCAATGTTGGTGCAATCATATTTGAAAGTTATCAAGAAAATCTACGTTAAAAAAAATATACATTACAATAATTTTGTTAATATTGTCAATAATATTAAAATGTTAATTTGAATATTAGATACGTTCAAATGAAACAGATCGATATTTTCAGGAACAATGATTTTAATCGTAACGTTTCAGTTGCATGTGCCTAATGTAATGACAATAAATGAAAAATGTATAGGTCCAATTCCATGCTACATTCCGCGTGATTTATTCCAATCTTTTCTATTCTACAGAAATACCAGTTCGCCTTATTTCGGAATCGAACGCACGTAACTATTCGAAGCTAATGCTCGCACGCGGCTCCTAATCGTCGCACGTACATTGGGGTTGGGTGTCCGTCGTCTTCGTGTGTTTACCTCGCATATACGTACCTACATAGATACAAACACATGCGCGCGCGCACAGACCCACATAAAGGCGAAACCCGTTACGTGTGTCAATGAGAGTGCAACGAAGCACTAACGCCGGGGTGGTGTCGAGGGTGGTTGGAGTGGCTCGGGGGGTGATTATGAGCGAGTAAGTGCCGCCGTCCAGTTTTTACCCCTCCCCCTCCTCCCACAACCCCGGTTGACCGTTCTACCACCATCGCGGCGGCAACCGTCTCCCCCCTCCCCCCCCGTCACTAACCCGCTGGCTCTAGTCGCGTTGGTTCTCTTGCCACCGACTCGACTAACCCCCCAACGGATCAATACGCTAAAACATTGCCACGTCGAGACGCCGCCGTGTAAAACCCGAAAGAAATACCGTCGTGGGGGCGGTGTTTTCCTTTAGCCAGAGGCCACCGCGTCTCCTCCGTCCGCGCGGCTAACGAACTTCCGGTTTTCGACCCTTTTACCGTCCGAGCCCTTTTGCCATCTTTCTCACTCTCTCTTTTTCTCTTCCTTATCGCTCGCTCTACCTTCATCTTATCGTCGTTTATATCTTTGTTTGGTTAGTAACCAAAATTTACGCAACGTGTATCTCTCATTAGGCGAGATAGAAAATCTTGCGTGAGATTTTTTCCGGAATTACAGGCCAAGTGTTTGTTTAAAGATTGGTAAATAGATTGTCAAATAGAAATCCAGTGATGGAAATGATAAAAATTGATTATATTTATATAAACATTGTATAATATAAAATTTATATAATTGGATTTTGCAGTATATGCAAAGCTTTAACTATAATAATAATAATAATAATAATAATATGTAATAATAGTTATACAAAATGGAACTGAATAAATAATAAATGAAAATTATACAACAATATGCATGGAAACATATGATTAAAACTGATTGCAACATCAAAAAATGTTTACATATAACCTTGTTTTAATAAAGTAATTATTATCTTTTATACATATAAATATTATATAAAATATAAATCATGCAATTGTCTCAATGTTTACACACACATATAAATTTAATTTTATGAAATTATTAAAACATAAGTTATTAAAACTTTCAATATATATTTTACAGTAATATAATAAAGTTTTTTATCGCGCCAGATAAAATGTTGATGAAAGGGAATTTACAAGGATCTAATTTTTCCTGAAATACGCCTTGAAAATGAAGAAAGCGTAATAAGAATCGAAAGAAAAATCGGCGTATTCGTACGATGCGTAATACGATATATTTCACCTTGGCGCAATCATAGCTCGCTCTTCGAGATAGAAAGAGCTTACTATCGATAGCAGACTTTCGAAGGGCACGAAAGACGAATGAACGGATGTCCGTGGCCTACCACAACCCACGTAAGGCAACGGATCCGCTCCCGTCCTTCGGTCCCCTCACCGATGTACGTATACACACGTTAGTGTTCCTACTCTCACGTGTTCCTACTCGCCCGATATAACGTCGGGGTTTGGACGATCGATATATCGATTGTCGTCGACAAACGACCGGCTGGTCGACGGCCACAAAGGTAAAAGAGAAAGGAGGAGATACAGATAGATAGAGGAAGAAAGGGAGAAAGCGCGAGCGGGGGAAGTAAAAGCGCTCACGGTGTTGTTCGTGTGTCTGCTCTGTGGTCACTTGTTGCCTGCTACCCCCGAGGGTTGGCCTTGTCCCTCTGTATTTGGGGAACGCTTAGTCGTTCGACAAGCCGCCGCGCGACGACCAAAGCATGCTCCGAGATCGTTCCGCCTATGGATTAGGTTCGGCGACTCTTTACGGTGAATTTCCGATCTCCCCTGTTGTTTTTCCATTTCTCGCACTTATCCAACCATGGAATTACTACTCCAACTCAAAATTTTCGAAACAATCGCTAGATTCGGATTATGGAGTTTTTGACGAGGAGCCGATTGGATAATTGACATTAATACTGGCTTATCTAATATTCGCTTTTTAACCTTTTACCCCTTAATTCTAACCTAACCCTTTAACTACGACTATCGTCAATAGAATAGATGAATAGGAATGTTCGTAAAGGATTAAAATATGTCAGATGTCAATATGTCTAGTCAGATTTCCTAAAAAAATTCTCTAATAATTCTCTAGTAATTCCCTGATGTTCTGATTATTGTTCAAAATTCCAGATAAAAGGAATATTTTAAAAATTTCCTGCAATTCTAAAATAAATGTTTTTATTATATCTATTTTCTAATATTTTCTAATATTTTTTTACTGATATAAAAGGAAACACAAACTAACTTAGGTTTTAAATACTAGCAAACTGAAGAACTGAATAGCCTTTTATTGTATATTTTGTTGAGACATTGTTAAATATATATAGAGAAAGAAGAGATAAATAAATATTTGTACATTTTTAACCATACACATAATTCGTTTGGCTCGACGACTCTGATTACAATATAAAAAACAAATTTCAATCAAAGAAAGAATCTTTTTAAAAACTCCCCCAATAAAATTTCTTAAAAATTGAAAATTTTTTTGAAAATTCGAGTCACCTATTCTGTAAACGATATTACTTTTTCAAGATAACTTAATTTTTATATGTATTTTTAATCTCACATAGAAAGCCTTAATTTCTTTGATTTTCAAAATTTTAGTTTACAATAGCTTTAATAATCTAAATCTTGAAAATTGCAAAAATGTGACAGTTTTTCGCTATGAAAAAACATTCGTTCTCTA